TAATTGGTAAAGAGTAGTAATTTTTTTTAGAATTAAAGTAGCAACTAACCTCTTAGACAATTTAAAGCTTATTTAACCAGCTGAAGAGTATATATACCAAAGTTATCATACTATTTATCATTTAAACCAACAGGTAATATAGTACAAGCATGTTAACAGACAATCAATACAATTAGTTACGTTTTTTTAAGTCATAGCCAGTGGAGGAGGAACTAAAGTATTTCCAGTAGCTTTAGGGGAATGGGCAGAGCTGTAAGTTGTACTCCAGTGGAATGTGTATAGGGGACAAAAGTCTATGAGTTGGTCTTGGGAGTGGTGGAAGCATGTGAGCCATGGATTTGAATAATCTATCCAGGATCTAGAAGAGTGAGTTGGCATCCTGTAGAAAAATAGAAGCATAGCCTCACCCACAAGTTAGTAATATATCTGGTCATTTCTATAATTTTATCAGCAGGTCCTTATACATAACTAGTGGTTTTGGTTAGAACTGTTTTGGCCCCCAGTGGAGAGAATTACAATTAAGATAGTTGATAACAAATAAAACATAATTTAATATATTATATCCATTAAGTGTATTCATAATTTGATTGTTGTAATTTTAATATTTGTGATTTTAAGGTTTAGTGATTTTTTAAGACTAGGATTTTATTTTAACAAAAATATTTAATCATAAGATTAATCAGTCTTTTTTCCATCATATGAATAAATCGACCAAATATGCCATATGTTAAACGCATATCGTTGTTTTTTTTTTTAAATCCATCATCTGCAGGTTTTATAAACCAAGGCAAATGAAATTTACTTTCCCTCAAGCCTTCTACAACTTAGTACATACCCTCAAGTTTTGCCTTTTTTCTATTCTTTCACATTCTGACATAACCATTTTAATCCATTTATTTATGTCAGTGTGCTGCATTCGTAGGCAGTAGCTGTGAAAGTGCTGTGTCTTTAATTTAACCCCTGAGCCATGAGAAGGGGTCTCTAGATAGCTTTAAATCATAGTTGTGAATAACTGCATTTTGTTTTAGAAGGCTATTTGAACCACATTTTTAGTGCATGATTTTTGTGAGATTTAAAAAAAAAAGATAGTTTATTTTTACATCATTAGGTGCCTTTTTCCATCTCAGTTGTAATCCCCGGGGGCTTCCCATCACCAGATAACCTGTGTGCCATCACCATAGTCCAGTGCACTTCCTTCCCCCCTCCGTTTTTGATCCCATTCCACCCCCGTAAAATGTCTCTGATATGTAGTTGTTTATTATTATTTTCTCGCCTGGTCCTTTATACTCCTGCTATGAGTGAAACTATCCGGTATTTTTTCCTTTTCTTTCTGGCTTATTTCACTAAGCATGATCCCTTCCAGCTCCATCCATGTTGCTGCAAAAGGCATGTGTTTATTATTATTTTTTTTTGGTTGCTGAGTAGTATTCCATTGTACTACATCTTTTTAATCCAGTCATCTACTTTTGGGCATTTGGGTCGTTTGCATGTCTTAATAAAGCAGCAATAAACATGGGGGTGCAGGTGTCTTTTTGAATCAGTGCTTTTGTGTCTTTTGGGTAGATACCTAGGAGAATATTTGCTGGGTCATATGGAAGCTCCATTTTTAGCAGTTTGAGAAACTTCCAAACAGTTTTCCATAGTGGTTGTTTGCATTCCCACAAGCAGTGCAGGAGAGTTCCTTTTTCTCTATATCCTCGCCAACATTTGTTGTTGCTAGTTATTTTAAGATGTGCCATTCTCTTTTGTGAGATATTTTAAAAAAATCAAGCCTTAAATAGCTAGTTTGTAGAACTTCGAACGTGATTAAGAGCCGATTAAACTTTACTGTTTTCTTTTTACACTTTAAAAATCAGTCTAGTTCCCATTTGCAAAGTTATTCAGCCATGAATTAATAAATTTAGCAGTAGGTATTAGGTAGAATTTTTTTTTTTAAAGATTTATTTATTCATACAGAGCTGGGGTACAGGCCAGAGGTGCAGAGGGTAAGAGGATTCACCAGGGACAGATTGGGGAGCAGAACAGGCAGATCAACGAAGTACACTGCTGAGGGGAGCAGCGGGTCAGGTTTAAAAAATTTAAGACTATAACCAGATGTACATACGTCTTTATTTAACTTTATATTCTGAAATAATTTTAGGTGCAAAGTTGCAAAAATACAGTACACACGAATTTCCATGTCTTTTCACCCAGCTTTCCTTGATGTTAACATCTTTTTTTTTTTTTTTTTTTTAAAGATTTATTTATTGATGTATACAGTACTGGGATACAAACCAGAGGTGCAGGGGCAGTGAGAAGATTCACCAGAGACACAGTGAGGAGCAGAACAGGCGAAGTGATGAAGTACACTGATGAGGGGAGCAGCGGACGGGTCAGGGGAGGTCTGCCATGCCTTGTGGGTCATCTCAGGGGTCGGGGATCAAACTCTCACTGAAGCAGCTGTGGCCATCTTGCAGTGCTGTGTCCTAACCTGTTATGCCACCAGGGAGGGCCCGATGTTAATACTTATCTAATTATAGTATGTGTGTTTTAAAAATCAGAAATTTAATGGTGGTATAATACTATTGATTTAAAGTACAGATTTCAGTAGTGTTCTGTTTTCCTGAATCCAGTCCAATGTCCTACAGTATGCTTAGTTGTCATATTCTATTAGTCATCTTCATCTGTGAGAGTTACACAGTCTATTCTTGGTTTTCATGACCATCACAATTATGAAGAGTACTGGTTTTGTTTTGTATTATGTTCCTTATTTTTGGGCTTGTCTGATGTTTCCTCATCAGTAGAATGAGGTTATATATAACCATAAAGTGATGAGGTACCATTTTCAGTGCATTGTATCAGAGTACTTGGTATTTTCTAGCTTATTCCTATGATACTAACCTTGACCACTTGGTTAAGGAAGTATCTATTAGGTTTCTGAACTAATTATGGTATTGGGGCCCTCGTGGTGTGCAGAGTTTAACCTAAAGCACAGCACTAGGAAGCTAAAGCTGCTTCAGCATGAGTTCAATCCCCACCCTGGAGGCCATCCACATGGTGCTGCAGACCCCTCCTGATGCGCCCGCTGCTCTCTTCAAGCTGTTCAGACCCCTCCTGATGCGCCCGCTGCTCTCTTCAAGCTGTCCTGTTCCCCGCTCTGTCTCTGGTGAATCCTCTCACTGCCCCTGCACCTCTGGCCTAAACCCCAGTTCTGTATGAATAAATAAATGAATCTTAAAAAAAAAATGGTATCAATATTTTCATCTTTGTAATTAGTGAGTATTGTGGGGGAGCTGTTATGAAGCTAAGGAAATTATTACTTATTTCTCTTTAAATTTTCACTAATGTTACTACCTCTCAGTGGATCTTGCCTACAGTATTTATTGTGCTTGCCTAGTGATGTTTTTTCTATTTTCATACTGTGTACATTTATTAGTTGGAATTGTTATGGTAGGAAGAGTTGTTCCCTTTGTGAACTCATGGGCATTTATTTTCCCATATAAATGAAAGGCTAATATTACCATCTTTTGTTACTCAAATGATTCCAGTTTACTTTGGGCACTGGGAACTTCCATTAGGTGGGCTCCTGTGTTTTGCTTTTCCCCCTTCCAGTTGTCTTTCGAAAGCTTTTCTTACTTTCAAGCACCACAGAATGTATTTGTATTTTTTTCTGCCTCTCCCTCATGTTTCTGAGGAGAAAATCCACATTTTTTTTTTTTTTTTTTAAAGAATGGAACTATAGGCACTCCCTGGTGGTGCAGTGGGTTAAAGCACAGCATGAGAAGCGATCTGTAGCCACTGCAGCATGAATTCGGTGGCTAAGGAGGTGACACACGTGACGTGGCAGACTGCCTGAATTGCCCGATGCTCTCCTCAGCGGTGTATTTCAGTAGATCTGCCTGTTCTGCCCCCCACTCTGCCTCTGATGAATCCTCTCATTCTCAGCACCTCTGGCCTGTGCCCCAGTTCTTCTTTGCATAAATAAATAAATCTTACAAAAAAAAAAAACGAGTGAAGTATAGCAATAGGGCTGCAAATTTCACGATATGACAGGATACTAGGCATGATTATTAAAGATTTCTGGGTAGATATACTATCCCAAATTAAGGTAAATTTATTCATCTTTTCATGTTTGTTTTGCAACTACTGAATGTTTCCTTTTTACAAAAGTAGATGGCAGAATTTATTTGTATACACATTATGTATAAAAATAAATATAAAATACTTGCTCTAAATATTTCTGAGGTGTGATGTAGGATATAAAGCATGTGTGTATGTAATGCATAGTAATGCAAACTACACTTTTTGTAAATGTAAAAATGAACATGGTAGTTTTGGAGAAGGGTGCAGACTAATTTTGAGCTAGGGTATTCCAGCAAAATATAAAAAGTTAACAGTTGGGTTGAAGAATGATGGAGCAAATACTGAGCACATTCCCTGTCAGATAATGGACTAGATTGCATAAATACATTACTTATTGATACTTTGGAACTCTGAGATAGATGGCTCATACCTCTTTCACTGATAAGAAACTGGGCTTCAGAGAGGGTAAGTAGATCATATTGGTAGAGCTATAATTCAGAATAAATCTGTGTAGTTAGAGGTTTGTTCTACTGTACCGGTTGAACTTGTCTTTTTTCTGCCTTTAAATGATTCATGTGCACAGACTATTCTTTTTGTTTTATCTTCCTTTTGGAATTAATGTCAAATGTAAGAAGTCATGTCTTTAAATGACTTATTCTCATCCTTAGTCTTTTTTTTCCTATTCTTCATCTAGTCTTTCTCTTTGAAAACTATATACTTCAGATGAATTAGGTATATCTTAGTGAAGATAAAGGGAAAATCATAAAATAGAAAAATTTAGGAAGAAGTCTTTTTGATAATTTGTGAAAGATAGGAGGAAAAGACAGGCTAACTGCTTAGAAAAGAGTAGTTATAAGAGATGCCAAGTACATTTGAATTAAAGTAACATTTTATAATGTGAAATTTAATAATTTTTTTGTTTGTTAATTTCCTCATAGGATATTATCTTCCCAATGATGATGGAGAATTTTATCAGTTCTGTTATGTTACCCATAAGGGTGAAATTCGTGGTGCAAGTACACCTTTCCAGTTTCGGGCTTCTTCTCCAGTTGAAGAGTTGCTTACTATGGAAGATGAAGGAAATTCTGATATGTTGGTGGTGACCACTAAAGCTGGCCTTCTTGAGGTTGGTACCAGGAGTGAGCTAGTAATTCTAAATATTTTTCATCTAGTTATGATTGACATGTATTTGTTAGCATACAGCATAATGATTAAATTCTTGAATATATTGCAAAATTGTTACAGTAAAAGTAGTTACATCTATCACCAGTTAAAATATTTCTTACGTGATAATGGTAGATAATGGTATCACTTACTATAGTCCCCATGCTACATATAACATACCAAGCACTTGTTTTTTAGTTGGGAGTTTGTATTTTTAAATGGTTTTCTCCCACATTAACCTGTGCTCACTCATAGGTTTAAATTTATAGATTCCCTGTATAGATAATATCACAAGGTATTTGTCTTTTTGTCTGATTTATCTCACTTAACATAATGCCCCAAGATCCATCCATAGATTTTGTTTTTATGGTGGAATAATTTTCCATATAGTATATATATATGTGCGTATATGTGGGCATGTTTACACCTTTATATACTTATCTATCGATGGATGCCTGGGTTACCTTCTGTATCTTGGCTATTGTAAATAATGCTGCAGTGAACATCGGGATATGTGTATCTTTTCAAGTTAATGTTTTCTTATTCTAGAATTAATTTGTTGGGTCATATGGTAGTTATGTTTTTAATTAAAATATTTGAGGAATCTTTATTTTATTTTCCATGGCAACTGCACTTGCCCTTTTATTTATGCTCCTATCAGTAATGCACAAGTTCTTCTCCCCATTGTCACCAACATTTTTTTGTCTTGTCTTTCATCATAGCCATTTTAACCAATGAGGTGTCACCTTATAGTGGCTTCACTTTCCATTAGTGACATTGAGGATCTTTTTGTATACCTGTTCATCTTCTTTGGGAAAATGTCTATTCAGATCTGTCAGTTTTTTCGATTGCTGTTTGCTGTGGAGTTGTATGTAGGAGTTCCTTATATATTTTAGATATTAACTCCTTATCAGATATGTGGCTTGCAAGTGTTTTTTCTCATTTTTTTTTTTTTTTTTTAATTT